AGCATAAAACACTGTTAAATTCAGTCACTTCACAACATGTACAGTGGGACTCCACATGCCAGGGGATCCGTGGAATCTGCCTGTTCTGCCTCTTCTCCCCTACGTAAAGCTTTCTCGAGGGCAAGCATCTTGTCCTATTCATCTCTGCATCACTGGGCCCAAGCACATAGTAGATAATCAACAAATCTTTATTGAATAGATGGGTTGTGGAAACTGACAGCCACAGATTAAACGCAGAAGAAGGCACTAGTGCACATGATCGGGACTGCTCACTTTATTTAACAAGAATCACCATAGTGATGAGAGATGTGAGGGAAACGGCACTGCGGTTGCCAACAGCAGCAGGCTGGGGCCAACAGGCTCACAGAGGCAAAGCCTGGACCATTTCTGAATGAGGGGCTCATCATTGCCTAGAACTTGATGCTTTATGTGTGTGTTGGGGGGGGATTTCTTTTTGCAAAATTGTGTTCATTTTAACAGCAAATGTTGAAAATGTTTCAATATGCATTCTCCCCTAAAATGTGTTGTTATAAGACGGGAAACTTGGTTTTCCATTTTTCCTTTGCTGATTAAAAAAAAGAAAAAAGAAAAAAAAACAGGAAATGAAATCTGGTTTATATATAATTTGTCACACATGTAAGATATCCAACTTTGTAAGCACTCCAAGTTTTCATTAACTCTGCTAAAATATATTTACATTAAGAAATTTCCCAGCCCTAATGTCGTTAGTTTCAAACTTCCAAACTCAGTTGTTTTGCTAAAAACGTGCATCAGGACCAGATGGAGGAACAAGAACCCCTGATTGACCTCCCTCCGAACCAAAATCCCATAAATGATAGAAACATCTTCCTTAATTAGAAGTAGCACAAAAGGGAAAGAAAGGGGAAGGAAATGCATTATGTTCTTGGGAAATCAGCAAGCTCACCAGCATTGCACAGCATTTGCCCCCAGTTGAAATGGAAAGTGTGAATACTTGGTCCAGAAAAGAAAGACAGTCGCCCCAGGAATCACTGAGTCCCTGTCCCTGAGAAGGACAGGGAACTCATGGCCAGGCATGGTGGCTCACACCTGTAATCCCAGCACTTTGGGAGGCCAAGGTGGGCGGATTACGAGGTCAGGAGATCGAGACCATCCTGGCTAACACAGTGAAACCCCGTCTCTACTAAAAATACAAAAAATTAGCCGGGCATGGTGGCGGGTGCCTGTAGCCCCAGCTACTCGGGAGGCTGAGGGAGGAGAATGGCGTGAACCTGGGAGGCGGAGCTTGCAGTGAGCCAAGATTGCACCACTACACTCCAGCCTGGGCGACAGAATGAGACTCTGTCTCAAAAAAAAAAAAAAAAGAAGGACAGGGAACTCCTTCACCACTCTGAGGAATGAAACCTGCCACCCCAATAATCATTAGAGGCAGATAAGATAAATATAAAAAGCAGGTGAACAGGAACCCTTAGATATGAAGATGGGCACATGGCCAAGGATCTCCAGACATTTGATCAAAAGACATCAAATGCAACATCAGAGAATTATAACCAGAAGAAATTAATGAAGAAAATAAAGAAGATGTGATAATACATATACTTTCTATCTTCTGAGAGGCTATTTCATCCCTTAAAAATTAATTATAAACAATAGAGACTGAAGATTAACTTCAAAAACTTGATAGATTGGATGAATGGCAAAATAAACTCAGCAAAGGGAAATTAGGGACGTGGGATATCACACCAAGGAATACTTTAGTCTAGTGTGAAAGGACAAAGAAATAGACAATGTGGTTAAAAGTCATTAGTCATGGAGAGTAGACCCAGACACTCCAATCTCATTATAAAAGGAGTCCCAATAGGAGAGAACAGATAAAATTGGAGTGAAGAAATACTCAAAGAAATAATGGGGGGAGAGGGGTCCCAGAGCTGAAGAAAGCCATCGGTTCTCGGGTTGATAGGCCCCATTCAATACCAAGCAAACCCAATGAAAAATAAAGCAGGGGCCAGGCACGGTGGCTCACACCTGTAATCCCAGCACTTTGGGAGGCCAAGGCGGGCAGATCACGAGGTCAGGAGATCGAGACCATCCTGGCTAACATGGTGAAACCCCATCTCTACTAAAAATACAAAAAATTAGCCAGGGTTGGTGGCAGGCCCCTGTAGTCCCAGTTACTCGGGAGGCTGAGGCAGGAGAATGGCTTGAACCCGGGAGGCGGAGGTTGCAGTGAGCCGAGATCGTGCCACTGCACTCCAGCCTGGGCCGCAGAGCTAGACTCCGCCTCAAAAAAAAAAAAGAAAGAAAGAAAGAAAAGAAAGAAAAGAAAGTGGGAGGCCAAGACAGTCACTTGAGGTCAGGAGTTCGAGACCAGCCTGGCCAACATGGCAAAACTCCTTCTCTACTAAAACTACAAAAATTAGCCTGGCATGGTCGCCTGTAATCCCAGCTACTCGGGAGGCTGAGGCAGGAGAATCACTTGAAGCCAGGAGGCGGAGGCTGCAGCGAGCAGAGATCGCCCCACTGCACTCTAGCTTGGACGACAAAGCAAGACTCTGTCTCAGGAAAAAAAAAAAAAAAAGTAAAGAGGAATTTTAGAAATCTAGGCACGTTGTAGCAAAATTTTGGAATACCAAGGAAAAAAGTTAAATCCTCATAGTTTTCTGACCGAGAGAATAGGTTATCACAATAGAATGAAAATCAGCTTGACACCAGACTTACCATCAGTCCTGAATGCTAAAAGATAGTAGGGCAATTTCTCGAACATTCCAAAGAAAAAACTATTTGTAACCTAGGATCCAAGACCCAGCCAATCTAGCCTTCAAGTGGGGGTGCAAAATAAAGACATTTTCATGCGTATAGGGGTTCATCCCACCTATAAACTCCCCCCAAAGAATCTAAGAAAATAAAAGGTATCAACTACAGTAAGTGCTGGAGGGAGAAATAAAGACCGAGTTGATGCACTAAACTGGTCTTAAAAATATGAAACTAAAGTCTCAAATGAGCTCAGTGTGGTAGGGAATTGGTCACAGGGGGGCAGGAGCAACAGCAAGAGAACAGCAAGTAAATTCACATTCCCAGTGCAGGCGTGACTGTCCCAAGGCAGGAGCAGAGCTTTCAGCAAATGATCCAGTCAGAACTGCCGCACTTCTGAAAATAACTTCATTTGCGATTTATAATCAGCTGGACGGATTCACTAAATAATTGGACTAGTAAGCCAGTTTTACTTTTTTTTTTTTTTTTTTTTTTTGAGATGAAGTCTCGCTCTGTCGCCCAGGCTGGAGTGCAGTGGCGCAATCTCGGCTCACTGCAACCTCCACCTCCCAGGTTCACGCCATTCTCCTGCCTTAGCCTCCTGAGTAGCTGGGACTATAGGCACACAACACCATGCCCACCTAATTTTTGTATTTTTAGTAGAGACGGGGTTTCACTCTTTTAGCCGGGATAGTCTCCATCTCCTGACCTCGTGATCCGCCCACCCCAGCCTCCCAAAATGCTGGGATTACAGGCATGAGCCACTGCGCCCAGCCCAGTTTTGTATTTTTAAATTAATTAAAGTGTTTATACATTTTGTGTCCTTGAATCCACTCAAGGCCGGGGGAAGAGGGGAAACACATCTAAGAAATTCATTTAAATGACTACATATCCTTTTCAGCTCCCTTAAACTGCAATAAATCAGACCATGCTAGTTGGAGGGCCGCCTGGATGGGAGACAGATTATGTATGACCAGGATCTGTACAGTAAAAGCTGGCCCCAGACAGGTTCTCTTAAAGAGAGTACTGAGTTGCTGAAATATGAAAAACAAGAATTCCTAACTTATCAACATATTAAGTTAAACAGAAATCTCTCCTCATCCTTTCAATTCTGATGAAGCTCTGTCTGTCTCTTAACTTACACTGGCAGGAAACTGGTAACGTAGATTGAATGATCCACCCCAGTTTTTCACCCACACTCACACCCTCGCCATAGCCTCCCTTTCCCACCCCTTGACATTGGACTTGGCCAAAGGGATGCCAGCAGGCATGACACAGCAAAACTGGGAAGGTGCTTGTGGGGTTAGATGTGCCGTCTCTCAGGGCCCTGCCATCAACCCGAGATGAGCCTGCCCCTGCTGGTCCCAGGAAGAGGATGAGAGGCGTGTGAAGCAGGGCTGCCCAGCCAACTCACAAACGCATGAGTAAGAAATAAATGATTATTACTGTTTGCCACTGAGATGTGGGGATGGTTTGTTACACAGGATAACTGTGGCAATAGCTAACTGATGACACTCGGAGGGCAAGTGTCCCGGCAGCACACATGAGGAGGAATTCCTGAGCCTTTATATTCAAGTGGCTGCTCTCACGAGAGACAGAATTCGACTCTGGCTGGTGCGATGGCTCTCACCGGCAGTCCCAACACTTGGGAGGCCAAGAGCAGAGGATCACTTGAGCCCAGGAGTTTGAAAGCAGCCCAGGCAATGGATCAAGATCCCATCTCTACAACAACAACAACAACAACAACACAGTGTTTTAAACTAAAGGAGCCATGCAAAGGATGTAATACAGATTTATTAAATTCAAAACCAGGCTGGGCATGGTGGCTCGCACCTGTAATCCCAGCACTTTGGGAGGCAGAGGCGGGTGGATTACCTGAGATCAGAAGTTCAAGACCAGCCTGGTCAACATGGTGAAATCCCCTGTCTGCTAAAAATACAAAAATTAGTCAGGCATGGTGGTGCACACCTGTAATCCCAGTTACTTGGGAGGCTGAGGCGGGAGAATTGATTGAACCCAGGAGGTGGAGGTTGCAGTGAGCTGAGATCACACCACTGCACTCCAGGCTGGGCAACAAGAGCGAAACTTTGTAAAAAAAAAAAAAAAAAAAAAAAAAACTCCAGAAAAACTACTTTTCTGGAATACAAATCAGAATAATGGCTGCTTGGGGATTAGGGGACTAGGGAAGTTGAGTAGACTGTAAAGGGATTGGGGGGAATTTTCTACAATGGTGGCAATGTTTTCTGCCTTGATTGGGGTGTTGGCTACAGACAGATATTTGTAAAACACCATTGAACTACATACTTAAGATCTGTATGTTTTACTAAACTATTCCTCAATTTTTCAATTAGCAATAACCGTGCCTTGGATAAACCTCATCAGCTACAATACTGCCACTGTGCAAAGCTATTCCTCAATTTTTAAAAACATAACTGTGTGGGGTGGATACCCAGACCAGGGTGAGGCTGAGGTGCAGACAGGCCTACCTGAGGAGCTGGGCAGCCCTCTAAGACTCCAAGACTCGGTGGGCTCTGGGCAGACAAAGCCTCCCTCTCGCAAAAGGTCTGGGAACCCTTTTCGGGGGCCTCAGAGTCTGGCCATGTCTCTAGGTTTTCTGACGTCCTAGACACACCATGAGAAAGAACTTTGACTGGGCTCTCGATCTGGTAGGTGACCTACGATATGGGGCTTATATCCAGGACCAAGAACCCAGGGCTTATACCCAGAGCCTAAAATGCAGGGCTTATACCCAGAGACTAGGACCCCGGGCTTATACCCAGAGCCTAAAATGCGGGGATTATACCCAGAGCCTAAAATGCGGGGATTATACCCAGAGCCTAGGACCCAAGGCTTATACCCAGAGACTTGGACCCCGGGCTTATACCCAGAGACTTGGACCCCGGGCTTATACCCAGAGCCTAGGACCCAAGTCTTATACCCAGAGACTAGGACCCCGGGCTTATACCCAGGGCCTAAGACCCAAGTCTTATACCCAGCGCCTAGGACACAGGGCTCATATTCAGAGCGTAGGACACAGAGCCTATATTCAGAACACACTAACCTGGAAATGGATGCTCTGAAACACAACTAGGAGAAAAAGTGGAAATGCCAGTCGTGATTGTCTCTTGTCCCCGTGCAATAGGATTCCAAGTACTTTTCTTTTCTCTTTTCTTGTTGGTTCCTTATACATTTAAAATAAATGAAAATGATTAACCTCAAATATATTTATGGACATGTGATTCCATATAGAAGAGTGATTGTTAAATATTTTTTCTCAGGATAGTTTCATACTCTGAAAATTTCCTGTGGACCCTAAGGAACTTTACGTGAATTGTATCTATCAATTTTACTGTAATAGAGATTAAATTTGAGGAGATTTTGAAATATTTACTTATTTTAAAATAGCAATGATTCCACAAGGTCTACATATTTCAAAACATCATGTTGTACACATTAAATAATTTCATTTTCAATAAAAAATAAGCTTTAAAAAGAATCCACATTGCGCAATTTTTTAAATTAAAAAACAACAAACCCATTGTTGTATGTTAACAATAAATACTTTTGTATGGGAAGCAACAATATCTTCTGAAAAAGTAGTGAGTTGCGTCGTTTTCTGCTGGCAAATCTCTAGGTAGACGTCTGAGCTGATTCTCAGATCTGTTTTTGCCTTCAATCTGTTGCAATGTCACACATCACGGCGTCTCTGGAAAATTCCACTGTATACTCACAGGAGAATGAGAATGAGAAAAGGCAAATCACATCTTACCATTATTATGAAAATAGTTTTGGCTACACTTCGAGAACTATTAATATAGAGTATAATCACAACTCTGTAAAAATAGGCAAATAAAATTTCTGAGTAAAAGTGTCATGGTGCCACCTCGTGTCATCTTTAATTATTGCAACGCCTGCTTACCAAACTTGCCTGTGCACATGCATTAGGTTGGTGCAAAAGTCATCACAGTTTTTGTCTGGGCGCGGTGGCTCACGCCTGTAATCCCAGCACTTTGGGAGGCCGAGGTGTGCAGATCACCTGAGGTCAGGAGTTCAAGACCAGCCTGGCCAACCAACATGGTGAAACCCCATCTCTACTAAAAATACAAAAATTAGCCGGGAATGGTGGCTTACGCCTGTAATCCCAGGACTTTGGAGGCCGAGGTGTGCAGATCACCTGAGGTCAGGAGTTCAAGACCAGCCTGGCCAACATGGTGAAACTCCATCTCTACTAAAAATACAAAAATTAGCTGGGAATGGTGGCAGGCGCCTGTAATCCCAACTACTGGGGAGACTGGGGCATGAGAATCACTTGACCCCCAGAGGCAGAGGTTGCAGTGAGCCGAGATCACACCATTGCACTCCAGCCTGGGCAACAGAGTGACACTCCATCTCAAAAAACAAAAAAGTAATCGCAGTTTTTGCTATTGAAAGTAATGGCAAAAACCGTGATTACTTTCGCACCAACCTAATAGTATATGGGGGGTGTGTGCACAATATGACTTGTGCATGCAGGTCGTGGACATGTGTGGAAATATGTGTATTAGTGATGTGTGTGCAAGTATGTGTGAGCATGGTGTGTGCATGTAGCATGGTGTAAATGTGCGTGCACACAGTGTCTACATACCTTGTATGTGCCTGTATCATGTGTGGTGTAGACATGCATGCATGCAGTGTGTGGCATATGTGTGTGTTCATGTGGGTCATGTGTGCATGTGATGAATTATGTGTACATATGATGCACGCGTGTTTGTTGGTGATGTGGGTCATATATGTGCACGTGGTACATGCATATCATGGGAATGTGTTGCATTGTGTAGTGTGGTAGGTGGTACACATGTATGTGTTCCACTCTGTGCTGTGTGCGTGCAGTGTGTGTTTCTGCAGTGCATGTGTGTGTGCCTGTGTTATGTGTGGCATGTGTTGTAGGTTTGTTTGTGTGGGGGGAGGTGGTGTGTGTTTAGGACTCACACATGGAAGAATGGAAGTAATATTTCACCCCATCTGCACGCACGCCTGCTCTGTACTAATCCCTTAACGTTCAGAAAACATACTTTAAGCTGCCCAGAGAGTATCAGGCAGGCCTGGGTCCCAAGAGACTTCCATTCATTCCTCTCTGACTTCGTCCTATCAGCCTCCTGAGCTAGGCATTGCCTCCTTTTCACCGACTCTCAGAGGTGCAGTTGCTGGCTTCAGCTAACAAATAGGGGATCCAGGATTCAGATGTGGGTCTTCTGACCAGGGAGGAATTCAATCATCTTGCACTAATGTTATAAAAATTAGCATTAAATGTGAATGTAACATAACATGAAGGTTCTAAAAATCATTTATATGTTAAGATCAAACATGTGTAAAAGGCAAATAGACTTCTGAATAAAAATAATAGGACAGCACCAGCGGGGCACCCTCTCGGCTCCCTGACTGTTTCCATCGTGTGTGAGTGTGCACTCGGGCCATGTACACAGTTAGGAAGGCATTCACTAGAAATCACTGGGAACTGGCTTTATGCCAAGTGCTGTGCAAGGTGCTTTCGCATTCAAGTATAAACGTGGCAAACACAAATCATCGGCTCAAAAGTCACATGTGCAAAATGTAACTCATTGTTTTTCATAGCTCAGTTTCAATTTCTGATTCCAATTTCTGAAAATGTAATCCAGTCCCTCTCAGAAAATTTCAGCCCCCAGCCCCATGTATGGTCACTCAGACCCTGCAGGTAGATTTAGACCAACCTGTCCTTTCTTCCCTTTCCTCAGAGTGGTGCCCTGGCATCAGGGAGAACGATGCCTGGCCCCTGGCTCCCTAGCATTTGCCAGGGTAGCACATGATGGGCTGGCATCTGTGCCCACCAGCATCCACGGAAGTCCTCCACAGGGATGGACTGTGCCTCGAGCCCGGGGCCTGGAGTCTGGGAGGAAGGAGGAGGATGCTGATTCCAGAAAGACTTTGCCAAGCTCGCCTCCTGGTCCATTCCTCTCCTACTGGCTGGGAGGGGGAAGCACTGGTGGTGCATGCTTTTGTGACAGCTACATGTGCCCCTGGGGTTTACCAGTCCTCGCTCAAGAAACCCAGGGACACGCAGCTGCTCTCCCTCCCACCTCCTCTCCTCTAGCTCCTGGGTGCTGGGACCCTGCGGCCAGCAGGCTTCCCTTCTCAGATGGGCACTGCCTCACACGACCCAGCCTGGGGGCCCTCTCCTGGCCTGTGGACCTTATCTTCCAGCTCCCACCAATCTGCATTCTTCCCTACTCTGTTTTTCTATGTAGAAAAATGTTGAGGCAGAGTCCTTCAGGATGTATCTCCTGATAGCCAAAGAAAATCAAACACATCTTGATTTTCAAACTTGTATCTCCTCTACTGTGCACCCCTCAAATCCATTTGGAAGTTCAGTTGGTTGCTGCTTCTTTCTGGCTGTGAGGTCTCATAGTCCACCTTTCCCTGGGCCAGGATAGAGCATTGAAACAGCCCAGGGGACCACAGTGAAAGTAAGAGCAGTAACCGACACGCAGGGAGATTGCTGGGGCTCAGTCCCACCCCAGGCACACCCAGAGAGAGCCCTGAGAAACAGGCACGGGGGTTCTCCATGGGACAGCTCAGTGGCAAGGGCCTTGTCGGCCGGCTCACCTGCCATTGCTTTCTGTCTTCCCTGAGAGAAGGACTTGTCTCCCTGCCTCATGCAGGCTGCTGAGAGCCTAGATCCTGACCGGCTCAGTCTGCAGGGGGCCTCACCCCAAAAAGCCAGGCACCGAGAATAGAGGCCGGGTCTCAACAGAATCCGCTGGGGAGCTGGAGCATATGAGGTCCTGGGCTCCGCACCAGAGATTCGAGTCAGGAGGTCTGGGGCAGGGCCGAAGAATCTGCATTTCCAACAGGCACCCAGGGAATGCCAGAATGTCATGGTCCAAGGCCACACTGAGCAGCGCTGATGGTAAGGACGCAGTAGCTTGAGCGGTGGGGATCTGGGCTAAACATCAGAGCTGGGGGTGCTCCTGGAGAGAGGGGCTTCGGTGAAGACACAAGACAGAATCAGAAAAAAAAAACCAAAAACTGTAATGAGAAGAACCCTTAAGGAAATTATTTTTTTCATATTGTTTATTTGCAATATCTTCCTGACTCTCCTTAAGAGTTCTCACTACAGTCATTTTTATTTTTATCATAATTTTTATTTATTTTATATTATGTATGTTACCTATTTTAAAAAACAGAGTCTCATCCTGTCACCCGGGTTGGAATGCAGTGGTGCGATCACAGCTCATCATAACCTCTAAGTCGTGTGCTCAAGCGATCCTCCCATCTCAACTTCCTGAACAGCTGGGGCCATAGGCATGCACCACCATGCCTGGCAAATTTTTTAGTGTTTTGTACAGATGGGGTCTAACTGTGTTGTCCAGGCTGGTCTCAAACTCCTGGCCTC